TATCTTTGAGCGAACATACAGCAATGGCGGAAAATTCTCTTGGCAGCGTCGAGGGACTAAGCATCCCCACGAACTACTGCATCGTCCTCTTTCGAGCCTGATGAACAGATAATAAAGATAATAATCAATCCGTGATGACCCACTGCTGTGCAAACGGTGCTATGTGGGAGCGTTCTCTTGATCAATGATGAAAAAAACCTCGATACAAGTACTTCTACAGATAGAGATGCACACATGACGGCGACGAGGCCAAAACGACTTCAAGGAGGTGGAAGCAAGCAATCAAAGTTTACCATACTCCGCATTATCCGCATTACAGCACTGGGTGAAAATTCGAAAGATGAACTACTTTCACTTTTTAGCCATTCCTCCCTTTTACCTTCCATTCAACAAAATTTGTAAAATGCCCTAATGCTTCCAAAATTCAAAAATATCGAAAGGAACGCGTCAGTTTTTCTTCTGAACTCTTCGAGTTCGCACTCTAGAATTGGCAGATCTACACGTGCTCTGAGACTTCTTAGCAGGTTGTTGCATTTTATTACGTTGTCCTGTAATGAGTAAATCACTTTCCATTCATTACTGTGAGGAATCCTAAAAAATTCGGCGAAGGCCAGAATTATACTATTTCATGTGGTAGAACCAACAGTGGCCTACTGAACAATTAGTCAGCCAATTTACCCGCTGGATTCCATAACTATGTATCACTACCATTTTTCTAGAACATATTTCGGAGCTCCCTTTTTTCGTCACTGCCGATTAAGACCTTCCATACGCCAAACAAAATAAAGAATCGACCTGAAGACAGGTGCGGGCGTACTCCTCTAATCTGATTGTTCACCATTGAAGGTTGACTTTTTTATTTGAGGAAGATCTACATTCCAACCATCAAGTGACTGGTTCTGGTAATGGACACCTTCAAAATGGGATCTGAAGAGACAAGCCGTTGCTTGCTGAGCTGTTATTATGCGACAAGGTGACGGTGCTGACACATTCCCATAGACTAGCAAAGATTCGGAGCGGTTTGTATCCCACATGCTCTAAAACCGAATCAGCTCCAAACGAGACCTAACATTATCATGTTCCTTATTATTTTCCATGGCTCCTCAATTGGGAATCCAGAACGTGGCCAGATTCCTGTTTTTTTTTTACCGCGGCAAGCACCTGGACGAACCCCCAACACAGAAGGCATGCCTTCAAAGAAACCCGTTTCGGTCATAAAATCTGCTGCAGCAGTAGTGATCTAACATGGCGCTTACGTCAACCGCAGGGATTAGCTACGAGAAAAGGTGGTCAGTGTTCGATAGAAGATAAAGGAAACAATCGCTCATGGAGCATAACTCTTATTCATCAAACGTATTCTACATTCGGATCCGAATTCATTGTTTTCCTATTTCTGCGCTCTAGATAAGTTTTTCGATTACTTCAGTGAGGAAGTGAAGCAGTCGATGTGAAACAAGGCGAAAGTGGCAGGATCGCTGACGGTCACACAATTAGAAGCCGTATCAGAATGTTGTGTTAGGACAAATTAATGGACAAAGTATAAACCATTCAATGTTGATCAGTTCCCTTTGGGAAGCGCCACGCATTCCACTGCCATTGGTTTTAATTTATGTGTCTCAATTTTTCACATTATATACTTTTGCACTTCCAGAAAGGTCCCGCACCAATTAATGGACCTTGAAGGATCGAAAGCTTGGTAGGCCCTGATGTCGCACTCTCCAGGATATGATCCTGAGCACCACTTGATAAGACACTTCCTCCGCCCGGATGGCAAGATCCACATAAGTATGGAAGCAGAGTAACGCAGAGCTTTTCAAGACTGATCGAGCAGCCTTTCAAAAGCCACATCGAGTTGAAGGCCTTCAAAGCGATACACCCAAGATGATACTGGAAGAGAAATCACTCCAGAAATACATCTTGGGCGAGAATGCAGTTAGCTCAAGATATTTCATGGCCAGCGTGGAAATCGCGTAGTTGGAATGGCCACGTCGGTGCGAGATTAGGTGTTTCCTAAATAACGAATTGTAGTTGCGCTGGGATACAGTAAGGTAGGAATTGTGGCTTAGTAGCTTTTATCAGAGGTGAGTAGGAGTCTGAAGAGTTAAACTAGTCGCTCCTCAGGGCTGAAATGACCAATCCAGCATACAAGGCGGCCAATTACGTGCCACTAACGACATCCATCGGAATAAACATTATAATTCCGTCGAATTCAACCGCAACACATCGTGCATCTGCGTTATTGTTGCCGTATTGCAAAGACTAGGACATGAATTAGGCTCGGCTACTCTAGTCTTGTTGGTTACTATACATTGCTCCCGACTTTTTGCAACAAACAGCCTGGCTTGGGCCAAAGTAAATTTGATCGTATTACGATTGTATGCTGAATACATATACTATTTT